AGGTGACTATAGTGTTCCTTAAAGATCCTTTAACCTTTCCTGGTAAGTTTTATCCTGAAATCCATGAACCAGATTAGTAGCCCTTCTCTGAACTCTAAGGTATCAATATCCTTCTGAAGATACGGTCTCCAATACTGCGTTCAATACTCCAAGTGAGGTCTCACCAGTGTTCTGTACAATGGCATGAGCACTTCCCTCTTTCTACTGCTAATACCTCTCCCTATACAACCAAGCATTCTGCTAGTATTTCCTGCTGCTCTATTACATTGTCTGCCTACCTTTAAGTCATCAGAAATAATCACCCCTAAATCCCTTTCCTCAGATGTTGAGGTTAGGACTCTATCAAATATTCTGTACACTGCCCTTGGGTTTTTACGTCCAAGATGCATTATTTTGCACTTATCCACATTAAATGTCAGTTGCCACAACTCTGACCATTTTTCTAGTTTACCTAAATCATTTACCATTTGGCTTATCCCTCCTGGAACATCAACCCTGTTACATATCTTAGTATCATCAGCAAAAAGACATAACTTACCATCAAGACCTTCTGCAATATCACTAATAAAAATATTAAAGAGAATGGGTCCAAGTACAGATCCCTGAGGTACCCCACTGGTGACAAGTCCAAGCTTCGAATATATTCCATTAACTACAACCCTCTGTTGCCTGTCACTCAGCCACTGCCTTACCCATTCAACAATATTGGAATCCAAACTTAAAGATTGCAGTTTATTGATAAGCCTTCTATGTGCAACAGTGTCAAAAGCCTTACTGAAATCTAGGTAAGCAATGTCTACTGCACCACCCTGATCTATAATTTTAGTTACCCAATCAAAAAAATCAATAAGATTAGTTTGGCATGATCTCCCTGAAGTAAACCCATGTTGTCTCTGATCTTGAAATCCATGTGTTTTTAGATGTTCAACAATCCTATCCTTTAACATGGTTTCCATCACTTTCCCCACTACTGAAGTAAGGCTTACTGGCCTATAGTTGTCCGACTCCTCCCTATTACCTTTCTTGTAAATGGGCACAACATTCGCTAACTTCCAATCTTCTGGGACTACCCCTGTTAACAATGATTGGTTAAATAAATCTGTTAATGGTTTTGCTAGTACACCACTAAGCTCTTTTAATAACTTTGGGTGTAATCCATCAGGTCCCATTGACTTATTTGTCTTTACTTTTGTCAGTTGAAATAGAACATCTTCCTATGTAAACTCACGTGTAATAAACGACTCATTTATCCTTTTTGTTAACTGAGGTCCCTTTCCTTCGTTTTCATCTGTAAATACAGAACAAAAATATTAATTGAGGCAGTCGGCTAGACCTTTATCCTCTTCTACATACCTTCCTTCTTTTGTTTTTAATCTAACTAATCCTTGTTTTACTTTTCTTTTCTCATTTATGTATCTAAAAAAAGTTTTGTCCCCCTTTTTTACTGACTACTATTTTCTCTTCTGTGTGTGATTTGGAAGCTCTTATAACTTGCTTAGCCTCTTTCTGCCTAATAGATCAAAGGAAAAAAAGTTACCTGCGCTCTCTCCTTAATCCCTATGTATATTTAAACAAATGGAGGTCATTTAGTTTCTCCAATGGCCACTGAAGGGAATGCCCGTCTGCCGAAGTCAAGGCAGACCCCTCTAGATGGGTCCTACTCTGACCCTTCACCCTGCTTCATTGAGCTTCTGGCAAAGATATCTCTATTGAGACAGAAAGGGGTATTTCTTATATACACCCCTATATACTTATTAACCCTTAATAGGGAACACATTGGATGGGCGGCAGCATTGTAACATCGTTGTGTGATACAAAAAGTGAATACAAATACAAAAAGAAAAGTCTTGCGCTCACTCCCATCACTCCTGGGTGGCAGCAACGACCACAGTACACATCAGCTAATACATATAGTAAAAACCAAAGGAAAAAAAATTACCTGCGCTCTCTCCTTGTATCACACAGCTAGATTACAATGCTGCCGCCCATCCCATGTGTTCCCTATTAAGGGTTAATAAGCATGTAGGGGTGTATATAAAAAATACCCCTTTCTGTCTCACTAGAGATATATTTGCCAGAAGCTCAAGGAAGCAGGGTGAAGGGTCAGAGTAGACCCATCTAGGGTCACGTTGGCAGACGGGCATTCCTTCCAATGGCCATTGGAGCAACTAAATGACCTCCATTTGTTTAAATATACATAGGGATTAAGGAGAGAGCGCAGGTAACTTTTTTCCTTTGGTTTTTACTATATGTATTGGAGCTGATGAGTACTATGGTCGTTGCTGCCACCCAGCAGTGATGGGAGTGAGTGCAGGACTTTTTTTTTAAAATTTGTATCTTCGTCTATGATAGATTCCTAATACATAAGATACATGCAGTGCAGACCTTAGATGAGTCTCTCGGCATCCCGAGTCAGCAGCGTGTTATTGCTGTACTAGATTCTAATCATGGTCTTAGGCACGATCTGGATGATGGCTGTTAGTAGTGGGAGTCAAGTCCTCTCCAAACGCGTTTCTCCACTTCAGCGGCTTTTTCAATGGATGTGGACTGACTGGCGGTATCGTCTTATATAGTGGCTGATCGTTTTCTTCCGTTGTACATCACAAATTAACATTGTATTTATTCTCTGTAGTTACAAACTAAATATGCATCATAAACTAAGTTGCGATCACATAAATGGATACTAGATCCTACTATTCTTTTTATGTTTTCAAACACATTTATGTTTAACACATGTTTCCATAGTTACTCCCGCTGAAATATTTTCAAATGTAACTCATTTCATTGCGAATGATTTACAATTAGACAGAAAGAAGGGAGTCAAATGAAAAAAAAAAAAAAAGAGATAGTTGCATCTAAGTCACTAAACACCCAAGCACATACATTGGTGTCTTAGTGATATTTCCATGTTGCACAGAAAATTACCTTATATTTCTTAAAGGGATCTACTTTTTTTAATTTGTCTATGTTTGGCTTATTTCTAGGAAATGATATAAAAATATGCATAAAATTATTAAAAATATAGTTATTAAAAATAGAGTATATAAAAGATAAAAATATATAGGAAGTATATTATCACTTATTTTTCCTTTATTGTTTAGAATTACCATATTCCTTAAAGGGACCCTAACTATATGGAAAACCAAATGCCTAAAATCCTCAGGATTGCGTTTGCTATATTCCTGAAATGAATACAGTGTAGGTGGTCATCTAAAAAAGATGAATCCTACCTATATAAAAAACTATAAGAAATATCGTCAATCTTTACATAGTATTTCCTAACTATGTTTTAAACTGGCATAATATTCTTAAAGGGCAAGACATAAATATAGTGGTCTGTGGGTATCTTCTTGCGACTATGGGTATGTGAAAAGAATGAGCCACTTACCATGTGGCTGGATGTCACGCAGCTACTACATTTGTAACATTCTTTCTTGGAATGCCTTGTGAATTTACTGTAGCACTGTATTGGGTCACTCTTGACCAAATATTCTTTGAGGTTTTTGTTCCGCTTGTAATAAAAATAAGAAATAATCCCAAGGCACACCAAGGTTTTGCACATAAAAAGAGTATTTATTCATGCATAGAAAATACAACAGAGTATCTTTTAAACAGAGAGAAAGTGCATAGTATAGTACATAGTATCTTTTAAACAGAAAGTGCATAGTATAGTGCTAAACCAGTACCAAAACCACTATACTCCGCTTGTAGCTGATGACAGGTCATTCCCTTAAAATTTGTGGTAAGTTCTTATCTGAGCTTAATAGTCCCCAATATTTATAGATAAATTTCCTCATCTCCAATGATTCTGTATGGTATGTTATGGGAAGGTGCATTTTAGCCATGGTGTTGAGCCTAGTAGCTATGTCCTTCCTATTGTCCACTTCCCATAGTTTCAAGGCTGGTGTCCTTACTATTTACAGTACTTGTGGATGGTACCCTCTTTCGAAAAAAACAAGTTCATGTCTCTTAATGGCTTTTCTCTACCGTCTGGGTAGTATTGTATCACACTCATAAACTGTGACACGGAAGTCTTTAAGTGCTTGTGGATGAAAGTTGGTGGCTCCTAGTAGAGTGTTACGATCAGTTGACTTATGATGTAGTGTATAGCCTATTCCATTCTCTCTTCTGTATACTGTAACGTCCAAGAACTGTATGCTACCTGGACTTGAAATAACAGTGAACCGAACAGGAAGTGGCAATTGATTTACCTTGGTAACCATATTCTCCAGTTCTGTCTGGGTACCTCGCCATACCAAAAATACATTGTCCACAAAACTATAATAATCAATTATCTATTGTTCATATCGAGATAGAAGGAATTGCTTTTCATACCAATACATAAAAGCATTGGCATATGAGGGTGCCATGGTCGTCCCCATGGCAATCCCAGACAGTTGAAGATATTAGTGTTCCTCAAATTTATTGTAGTTGCACGTTAAGACAATGCGTAGAAATTCAAGTAAATATTCAATTGGGGGTTCATGATATGTTGTAGCTTGGCAGAGGATGTCCCTCAATGTGTATACCTGTTTACGAGGTATTATAGTATATAAACTCTGCACATCTAAGGTAACCAAAAACATATTCATATTATGCAATCTCAATTTCTTAACCCGTGATAAAAAATCTTGGGTATCTTTTAAGCATGTTGGGAGTTGCATAACACTTTCTTTGATATGATAGTCCACAAAATTGGTTCCAATAGCCCTTCTCTCGTGGAGACTGTAGGTCTCCCTGGTTGTTTAGGAGGGTCCTTATGGATTTTCAGAATAGTATACAACACTTGGGTGTTCAACATATAAAGATTTGGATAATTTAAAATCAATGTTCTCCATATGTATACCAAACTCTATGTGAGTGTTCTTTTTTGGAATTGTGAGATCAAACGTCAATATGCGGTACGTGGTTCTTCAAGTTGTCTTAGAATTTCTTGTTCTATATTTGGTATATGATTGAATAACCACAGCTGCCCCTTTGTTGGCTGGACGTATGATAATCTATTTATCTTGCTTTAAATCCTTTAAGACCTCTCTTTCTGATATTGTAAGTTTGTGACTGTGTGATAGAGGATCCTTGACAATACCATCTATATCACTTTTTACTGCTTGTAAGAAGGCTTTAATTGACGCATTGGGGGTATTGATCTCCCTTTTCTGCCTTGTAGGAAAGGGTGTGCTGTATGTTGTGGTATTGTCCTTACGTAGTTCATGACTGTTCAGTATGCGTTGCAGTTTGTACAATTCCACTTCTGTCAGGAATTGATATGGTTTGGACACTGTAACGAACGTTAATCCTTTATTAAGGATGGAATAGTGATCCATGGTTAACACCTTATCAGACAGGTTAAATATAATTGTCACCTCCGTTTTATGGGGGATTTTGCGGTATACCCGTGCACCCGGTCTGCATAAACGGACGCCTAACATAAACTTAGGTCTAAACACCTTAACACATAGAAGAGGTTCAAAGGACAACCAGCATCAGACCCCTTAGGTAACATTACACTCAGAGGGTGGCCCCTAGCCAGCGCCAACAGGGGACACAGCACACACTATTTTAGTACTCTTTGAGCCATAAGGAGATCGAATACCCACCACATCCAGCAACGATCCCCACCTAGTTTGCAGCTCTCATGCCTAACATATCTGTTATAATCTAATCTTAATTGTTTACTTTTCATTTAACCATATAGATCTAAAAACGGAACTGTAACTCACATACCAATCATCCTTGACCACACTAAGCCGACACTGCAACTTTTCATTCATTAATAAAAATATGCCAGTTTATTGAATACCACACTTGTTTATGCAAATTGTACGTATCTATACCTTGAGAAGTACCAGGCCGCCTGGTGTCACGTTTCAAGAGTCAGCCTATTCCAGAGACTGGAATTTCGTAGCAGGCAGGTGATGTCTGCAGAGAGTATCTGCATAAGTATGCCGAAAGGTTGCATTCCTCCCCTCCCAAACTTGTATCAGGGCCATCACCTCTAAGCCACGGACTTGGTTACTTTGCAAGGCCAAGTCCTTCCCCTGCGTGGGACAACGGAAGTCCTGGATGGTCTTGGGCCTATTACAAGCCTCCTCTGGTGTGGGCGGTGTCGTGAGCACAAGCTCCTTTTTTACCCTTAGTCTGGGTAGGCAAAGTGGATATTGCCCGGGATGCAACCTCTGATTTCTTCACCCTGATGTCTGTTTGTTCTCCATAGGTAAAAGGCGTGATATCGTCTCTTGCGTTTTTGGGTGGATTAGTGTGACAGCGGTCCACCTGACTGCAGCAGATACATTGTGCTGAGCGTCTGCCTGTGATTTATGTGATGAGCTGTAGCTCCCATTGTGCTCTCCAGCTTGACTGTTCTTACGGTCTAATTTCAGCCAGAAATTAGCAAATATCTTATCAAGCCGGGCCAAGCTTGTCTCCAATGGGTCAGGTGCAGTAGAGGCTTGTGAGACGTCCACAATTTTAACTTGGTCGGTGTCACAGGTTTTGTGCACCCAAGGTCCTAGCAGGTTCACAGTCCTCCCAGTAGCAGGTAAGTAGATTCGAGTAGCTGCTTCCGGGATATCCCTCACCGGCGGGGGGCAAAGCCCTTCCGCCACCTGCAGTTCGAGCCGTAATAAAAAAGGGGTGACGGGTTGCGTCTCCCATGCCTGTAACCTCAGGTAGGCCGCAAAGGCTTTTCGAGCATAGACTGCTTGTCTGGCATGCAAAATTCCACAGATTTCAGGCATGCTGTGTGCTGCACCTATTGGGTGAGTGTGATCAGGCCCACAGCTGCAGTAAATGGCAGAAATTCATGGATTTTCCTGGAGCTCATTCCATGTGCAGCCTTCCAGTATGGCTGTCAGGTCCTGCCCCCCTCCCAGAGATACACTATTTCTGAGAATAATGCAGATATATGTTTTGAGTGTCCATGCAAAATGTACTGCCATATGCTTTTTTTTTTTTAACGTACATATTAATTAATTCTTCAATATGAATGAATAAGTTAGACCATGATTGGCTTGTATTGTCAAAAACACTTTCTAGTTTCACCAAAAGAGCAGCCCTGGAACCTGGTGTGGCAGAACATCAATATAAACATTTTAATATACTTCTCTATATAACAAATGGATTTCAATATATACCATATAGATTTCGGTATTTAATCTATGGATTTTATTATGACAGGGATGTCAGTATATAATGTAAATTTCCATATTTGACTCAGATCTCAATATATAGTGTGTGTATTTCATAATCTTAAATATGGATATTACTGTATAGTATAGGTATTTCAGTATATGATATATGCATTTTATTATATGATACACACTTCTCATTGTGTAAGATAATGGGTTCTGTTGTTAGAGTAATGTATAAGCAAAACTGAATTATATCCCTAACGGCCCCTCCTAGTCATCCTTTATTATTTTTCTTCTTCTTATTTATAAATGCCGACAAATTCCACAGCGCCGAACAATGGAGATGGACTAACAGAAACGTATTGGTAACCGGACGAGTTGGACACACAAGAACAAAGGGGGTTGAGGGCCCTGCTCAATAAGCTTACACGCTAGAAGGGGTGGTGTGAAGTGACACCAAAGGTAAGAGTAGGGTAGTGTCAGGATTACAGAATGATCTAGCACGTAGAATTGTGTAACACAGAGAACTGATAGGTAACGTATACCGGACCTTAGAATGGCCGGACTAACATAAAATAGTCAGGAATAGCCGAGGTCAAGGGAAACAGAAAGAGACACAACGATAAGGAAAAGCCAGGAGTCAGGGATGCCAGAAAACAGGGAAGTTAAAAACAATGCCAAAGTCAAATAACCAGAATTACCAGAATCAATAATGCGCTCTCGGACAACCACAGGGGAAACCACGACAGGGCACTGAGCAGGATGAGAACTGGGCCTAAATGCCCTTCCTCTAGATCTGATAGGCTGTAACCGGCCTTTGACTCCAAAGGCAGTTACCAGGTTCCCATTTGCATAATTGCTGCTCAGCTTTAACCCTTCTGTGCATTTGGTTGCTGCTCGGCACAACTTTTCCCGTGTGGACAGTAAATGCGATTAACCACATTTTTATAAGCGGATGAATACGTGACAGGTAGACCATTGGGTTGATAGAATAGTATTCCGTGGGGGCTTAATTGTTTTTTTTTATTTTTTTTTAAATTCTTTATTTTATTTGTGCAAATGGTTAACAAGCATGTTTGCTGTGCCACAACAGCTGGAGCAAACTGAACTGTATATATAAGAAAACATCATTATGGCATTAGAGGCATTGCACATTTTTAAAGTAAGTAATGCAAAAGTTAAATCAACGCTTCAGTTTCTAAATGCTAATTCAGATATACATTCCGACTTTACTGTAAGGTTGTCTGGTTAAAAACAGACGTTTATATCTAGCAAATAGTTTAACTAGGACGATTATTCAAAGAAGGTAAGGTAGAGTATTACAGAATAAAGTAAAATATGATAAGGTACCACTGGGCAGAGCGCGGCACATTGGGTCATCATCTGTGGTAGTAAGGATGTTAATGACCGCTATGTCTTACAGGTTTGTCTGAGACATTACTAACTGTTATGTCCGTGTAGCGGTGAGTGACGCCAGAGTGTCCTTTGGTGAGGCTGTCTGCGGTGAATTCCGTGGTTTGTGCCTTCCATGTCTTTCTTCGTGGGGAGGTAGGACAGCCATCGTTACTTGCGTCGTGCACGTGGTTAAAAAGTATCCTCTTCACAGGCATGAGGATGTACCCCGCTGGCACCCAAAGTCCACTAAGTTCCGACGGCCCGCCACCGGGCATAGAGTCGCTATGGTCATGTTACCCAGTCGTGGGGTGAGTATAGTCGCGTTGTGCAGACCACAGTGTCCCGGTGTGGGTAGCTGTGTAGCAGAGCTATTGCGAGGGGATGTCTGTTCCGGGCCTTCCTCCAGTGGCAGCCCACGATCTTGTTGTTAGGTGGTTGAAGTGAGGTGCTCTCGCTTGGGGCTTGCACTGAGCATGCAGTGTGAATAGGCAGTAACGTTATTGGCTGCCTTCTTCTCCTCTCCACCACATTTGCAGTCCAGGGTTGTTTATGGGTTCAGCTACGTGGTGTGTGGGGACTGCATCAGCGTGGCCTGTGGGGTAGTCGCATCACATTCGGCCATTTTGTTGAGGCCGCGTGGTAGTCATTGGCGGTCGGCGCCGAGTCACCCAGGATCGCCTTATGGATGTTTGCCTGCCCGGTGGGGACCGGGATAAACCCCACCGGTCCAAAGGGGGGGGGGGTGTAACGGGGCTGGGAGGGTTCACTGTAGCTGGGATGGAAAGCGAGGCAGCGGCCGTCTGCTCCACTCCCCTCCCGGGTAGGCCTCAGTCCCCAGAGCATCTCACCAGGACCCAGATCCACCCGATTTCAGGGGCTCTAGCTGCACTGGGACACTCCAGGAACTTGTGCCATGATTTTCCATGGTGTTTCAGGCTGAGTTTAGTGGGTATTTGCCCAATATTAGCTGAATTCCCCAGGAGCTGTAGTGATTTGCAGCCTTCTAGCATGGCCGCCCGGCCCCGCCCCATTGTTTTGTTTTTTTCTTGATGACAGGTGTTGGAGCAGAATAAGGGTGCTACTTGTGACGAGACCAATCTCGCCACATTGCATTGGAGAAGCCTGGTTGCTCGTCTGTTGCCTTTGGATTATGGCCCCATGTTAAAAGGCTTGATTTTCCCCTGCAAAGACATGAAAGCCGGGTCATTTGGTGCTTGCCCTGTTTGAGCGGTGATACCCCAGATAGCTATGCCATGGAGCCCATTCGTATAATGAAAGACTATGGGAAAGACTTTGGCTCCATGGCAATTGAACTGTATGTGTGTGCTCTGAGCGCCATTCAGTAATAATGTGCGCTCAGATCTGAGCTATCTGGGGATATGTTGAATGTACCTGTTTTGTGCAATGGCTGCACAGTTACATGTTTTTATGTGTTTTATTGTCTTTTGCTGCCATGTGTTCAATGGAGTTTTGCCTCTGTCCTTGGAGATAATTGGATTACTTCCCAATTATCTCCAGGATAGAAGACTCTGTGGAACTGGTTTTGGGCAGAAAAGCCATGCTTCCTGTGGTCACAAAGGACTACGATCTATCTTTTGAACCACTGGACCAATTTGTATGATTTTGACGTATGTTTGTATTTGGAGTATGCTGATTCTGAAAATGTAAATGTGAATGTGATGCATACTTTTCAAGTTATGAATAATGTGGAAAAATTGTATTTCTCTGCTTGTGCTAATTACATTACCTATTGTGTAAGGTAATTGAATCACAGGCAGAGGGGAGGATTTTGTGTGGGAGTGTCTGAGTGTATTGTATGTGTTTATTGGTTGTGTTCCAAAACCCTGTGGGTGGTACTAATGTGTAAGAATGTGTACATAAGCACAATAAACCCACAGCTCTGACTGTTCACTGCTTGACCCTCAACACGGAGCCTTGTCTCATTCTTGGGGGGATTTATTGTATGCTGTTCCAGTTTGACTGCTAGGAGTGTAAACCTATTCGTATGGTTTTTCCTATTTGGCTGTTTACGGCATTCATATGGTTTCCTGTTCGGCGGATTGTTGTTCTGCAGTAGCTGTGCCTGTGTCTCTGGAAGGGGAAGATCTTCTAAATGGCGGTTTTACCCTTTTATGCTGAGGGTGCCGTTACACTACTGAACAGGTATGCTACCTTCAGCAGTGCTCCTATTACTAGCTACATTTATAAAGGTAAGATAGATGATATTCTTGGGATAACAATATTAGTTTCAGTGGTGATTGTTCCTTATGTAGTACTTTGCACCAGAGTTGCACCTTAACAGTTATGTGATGAAGAACACTGAGACTCACTGTATAACGCATTCCCACTTTCTTTATATTGTTTCATGTTCAAATAGTTATATCAGTCATAACCTTGGTGTTTTCTGTCCATTTCCCGTGTTTGGAAAATGTTTCAGCCCCTGACATACCAACTGTAAAGAAATGCTTGAAACCTCTTTTAATCTGAGTACAGTTTTTGAAAGTTCATCATTTAGTCAAGCTGTTTCTATTCATGATCTTGAAATACTCAACTGTTCTGTGCATATTTCAAAACAGAGCAATCATTACCAATGCTAGAGGCATTGCTTTGGGAATATATTTTTGGAAAGTGAGCACAAGTGTTGTGGTTACATAAAACCCTTCACTTAGTTTAGTAAAACACTGAATATTCATCAGCAAGATTCTTTTGAGTTCTTCAACTGCCTCAACATGCTATTAAAGGCAATGCAATCAAATATAACATTTTATTTCTCAAAAGAGAAATTTCAACATTCAATTCTTATAAACAAGAAGTTATTGAAAAAATATACCTACAATGTTTATTAGAGGAACACTCCAAGTGAATTGTAGTGCCTTCCGGGTACTCCTGGCATTAGCACCACCACAGCATGCTGCCCAAAAGAAGTAATTAATCTATTGTAGAACAGTTTGATGTCTTACGTGGGGTTTAAGAGGTACTACTCCCAAGCAGACCCAAGTGGACACCAGGTAAGAAGTCAAACCAATCTAAAACAAGTTTTACTACTTACATTGGGGAGGCAATATAAGCACTTCATCACTAACTCCTACAGTGGCCAGTACTGCTGATGGTGTTTCAAGTGTTCTTTTGATTTATTAATTCCATGTGTCCCACTATTGAACCTCCTACTACTACTCATCAATCCTTACACATTCTCTAAACTTCCTGAAATT